GGAAGTGGCTGTTTTGTGCTTTTGTATGGAAGCACAGCATATGTGCCTCCGTTTGACAAAAAGCCTCTCGAATCAAAGCAGCCCTAGTCCTGTGTGCTGATCCAAAGCGAAGGCCGTGGTAATGAGGGGCCGGGCTCTCAGGAAGCAGTGAGTAGATAATACTACATAAGTGGAGAATTCTGTGCACTGTTTTCACCATCCTACTTAATGCAAGTGGCAGCGGCGGTGAATCGCTTGCCATCCAGCTGAAATGGGCCATTAGCTATCAGGGAAAATTGTCTTTGCTCCTTTCAGCAGATGGAGCAAATATTTTACAAAGCAATTTTACATACGAAAAACATTTGTGTTACTTGGTAATGATGGCTGTTTTACATGATGCTGCCTTCTATCAGAACATACTTTTCCAGCTCGTGGAAGGCAAAATTGGCACTTTTTTAATTTTAAAATTTGCAGTTCACAATTCAAAGGCCTGGGTTTTAAATCAGGTGGCAAACTTTTCAGTAGACAGGGCGTTCGCTGTATCGCTTCCAAAAACATTTCCAGTTTTATAAACCTCTCAAATTGTTTTGTTCAGTGCAGTACATTGTGGTTCTGGCCAGCCTGCACCTGCCTGAATTGGGGAAAAAAAAAAAGTCAAATCAGCTTAATTTGCAAAACAGGAAATAATGAAAGTTGTTTGGACGGCCAGACAGCAGTCGCTGGCCTCTTCCAATACCCCCGTGTTTGCTGGTGGCACTGAGAACAGAAGAATAAGCTGGGCTGGACCAGCTCACAGCCAGGCAGCTGGAATAAGTTATCATAGCTCCACTGATCATAATATGAAGCATACAGGGTATAAATGGTGTGAATTGTCATCGTGCCGCTGAACAGGCATAAATTGCCATAGCTTCATTGACTTCAGCAGAGATGTGGCAGTTTGTATCGCTGAGGATCTGTCTGCTGATTTCATTCTTCTCTGGCCCAGTCAGCTTTACTTATTTGGAGATACTTTCTGCACTCTATTTGCTTGCAAGGTCTAAATAATTTCCTTTCAATCTGATTTTTAGCTAAAAAGCCCTAGGTCTTTCTCATGCATTCTGCTCTGCAGCCTCTTTCTGTCCCCAGGTCTTTCTTCCCATTTCTATTTCTTCTTTCTATTTATTTACTTATCTTCTCAACAGGCTTTTCTTTGCTGACTGAGCTATCTCCAGTAGATTTCCTACTGGTGCCTTTAATGTTTGGTCCTAATTTTTTGTGGCAACTGCCATTCTAAGAAAGCCTTTCAAAATTCAGCTTGCAGAAGGGTGAGAAACGATTTTATATTTATGGGGAAAATGGTGTCATTATTTTTCATGCTTATTCATTGTTGTAAAAAAACAATTGTAAAACAGATTTGGATAGATTTAAAGATTTCTATGTGATATAAACTGTATTTGGGCTGCACTCTCTCTTTTTCCTGGTACTAAGAAACATCAGCTGAAAGATTTGAACAATCTGTTTCCATTGAGCCTATGATTCTGAATTGTTTTGGGCCACATCAAGAGATAAACCATTGGTAATCTCTGCTGGAGATACCGTCCAATTTAAATGAAATTAGCCTACTGAGCACTGATCCTTTTAAAAGGTTTGACTTCATGAGTGAATGTTGGATCTGTGCTTGAATTTGCCTACTAAAAGTCCCCATCATTAGGATTATTGCCTTTTTAGAGCTTACAGGTGCAAAAAAAAAAAACTTCAGCTAGAATTCCAGGTGCTGATCCTTCCAAAGCAGCTGCCCAGCTGCCAGCAGTGTGAGCACCTCAATTCTCTAGGCATGGCTTGTTAAAAGCACTGTCACGTCGCACTTGATGCCCCAAGAACATCTTTCAGATATCCTTGAACTAGTTATTTCTTTACAGGTCCCACTGTCTTTCTGTAAGAGGACTGATTTTGATGCATACATCTTCCAAGTCAGCAAGTTCTGAGGGTGCTTTGAGCTGGGAGATGCTCCTGAGCCAGGTGCTGTGCAGCCATGTTGCCCTAAGAGACCTTCTGAGTTCATCCTGTGCTCAAGTCCCCTCCAGCTGCTCTTTGAGCTCATTTAATTAAGCAATGTTGGGTTTGTTGAGGAAGTACCACAACAGTCTTGCTTGTCTAATGTTCACCATATGGACAAAAGAAGTAGCATATCACAGAATCCAACAATGGCAGAGGTTGGAAGGGACCTCTGGAGATCATCTCATCCAACCCCTGCTCCAGCAGCTCACCCACAGCAGGGTGCCCAGGGTCACAGCCAGGTGGGTTTGGGATCTCTCCAGAGCAGGAGACTCCACAGCCTCTCTGGGCAGCTGCTCCAGGCTCTGCACCCTCACACCAAAGAAGTTTCTCCTCCTGCTCAGGTGGAACCTCCTGGGTTCCAGTTGGTGCCTGTTGCCCCTTGTCCTGTCACTGGCACCACTGACCAGAGTCTGGCCCCAGCCTCTTGCCCCCCGGGGCCCTTTAGCTCTTGCTCAGCACTGATCAGATCCCCTCTGAGGCTTCTCTTCTGCAGCTGCACAGCCCCAGGGCTCTCAGCCTGTCCTGGCACAGAGATGCTCCAGGCTCATCAGCATCTTTGTTGCCTCCACTGGTCTCTCTCCAGTAGCTCCTTGTCTCACTGGGAGGAGACTGGGGAGCCCAGAATTGGACACAATACTCCAGAGGTGGTCTCCCTAGGGCAGAGTAGAGGAGGAGGTAAACCTCCCTCGACCTGCTGGCCACACTCCTTCCTGCACCCCAGGAGACCACTGGTCTTCTTGTCCATGAGGGCACGTTGTTCTCATGGGCAACTTGTTTTCCACCAGGCCTCCCAGGTCCTCCTCTGCAGAGCTTCTTTCCACCAAGTCAACCCCTAACCCATACTGGTCCATGGGGTTATGCCCACTAGGTGCAAGACCCATCACTTGTCCTTGTTGAACTTCATGGGGCTCGTCTCTGCCCAGCTCTGCAGCCTGTCCAGGTCAAATGGATGTTACTGATGTATAGAGGAGATGAATAGAGACTTTGTGCCTCCATTTGTGAGACAGGTAAGCCTCCCCTTTGGTACACTTCAAAGTCTGGAAGTTCTGCCTGATTTTGCACCCATTTTAGGGAGCTTTCTTTCATGTGTGATGCTCAGAAACGACTCTCTCTGAAAGGAGCTCCAGCTGTCTGCAGCACTGTTCCGTGGAGCTGGCGTGGCTGCCCTCATGTCCCTCAGAACTGTTGCAATGGAAAACTGTGTCCCAGTTGACATGCTTCTAGTTTTATTTTTACTTACACAAGCTTGGTCACAGCACTCTCAAATGCTTCCATGCATCCTGGAGGGATTATTGGGTTTTTCCCCAGCCATTTATCAAAAGCTTTCAGGCAGCCCTTGCCTACCTCTTCTTTTGTGTGTTTGTTTTCCTATTTCTGTTTAAATGGCCCAAAATTGTTGGATCTGAGGGACAAGGGGTGGTGTGACAGTGGCATCACTGGCCATGCTGACAGGCCCAAACTGGTGATGTCCATCGTGCCTCTGGTCTTCTCTCCAAGGCTGCATTTATTTTCACTGCAAATCACCTGATTTGTGATTTCTGGACTTAGCAATATTTCAGTGCAAATTAAGATAAAGCAAACTGATATTTGCTCACTGCTCTGTTGGTTTTGTCAGCTGAAATACCCAAAACCTAAAATCCTCCTTACAGATTTTTAAGGAAATGAACAGTTTAAGATCTGAATCAGGGTAAATTCTGAACTTGGATTTCACATTTTGTGGTCCTTGGGTTTTGCCATAAAGTTGTAGTTAGTTGCCTCAGTCTGTTGATATACTGACTCAAACAAATTTTTAGCATTTTTTTCTGAGATACTTAAAGTCAAGAACATTCTTTTCCATTTATGCTAGGAGCCCATATAGCTCCAGATCAGCATTATTATCTAAGCACCTCAATATTTTTGAAGGCATCTTTTTCTCAATTCCATGTGAGGTAGGGACAGCAACTGTCCCCTTTCATGGCTGGGAAGCTGAGGCACAGACTGAAAGTCGCTTCCTTGAAGCCTCCCTGGCAGATTGCATTCAGAAACAAGATGTATTTTGGAGCTGTGAGGTTTTACCATGTTCTTCCAGAGCTCAAGATAATGTGATGATGTCTTAGGACTTTGCCAAGATCAGAGGATGGTTGGTCAGCTGCTGAAGCATGGGCTGCTGAAGAGAGAGGATATAAAAGAGAAGCAGAGACACCCAGGGGAAGCAGATGAATGCTTATGAGGCAGCAAGAAAAGGAGCCTGAAGCAATAGAGACAGAGTCCTTGCACTTTATATGCTTGTGTACTTCTGGGATGTTTTTGAACAGGAAAAGCAATGCAGTTAGGTTCTGTATTTAATGGGATTGTTTTGTGTCTGTGTGATAATATAGGAAAGACATTGCAAGAAGGAAAAAGCTAGTTGCTCCTACAGTATCACTCAGCAAACTCTACCAAAGGTAGAGGCACAAATTTCTTGAAATTCACAAAACCTGTGGATTTTTGTTGCAGAATAGTGTAAAAGGCTACCTCCTGCTGGAGGAACACTTTTGGTTGATTAGTCCTCTTTTCTTTTAAACAACTGAAGGGTTTTTGGGTTGATGTAACAGCTTAAAAATAGAACCAGTAAAACTATTTCTGGCATATGTGACTATTTCAATACGGCCAGTTTCAAAATATAAACAATGTAGGAGTTATTGACTGCTGGTATTGATCCCTAAGCAGTTACCAAGTGCTTAGCATTTTCAGTTGCCAGATCAGATTATTGATATAAATTATAATGAAATAGGGGCTGTACTGAGGGAGGGGAGGATTGTCTTTCAGAGAAGGACAGTTTTCAATAGGAGGGAACAGACGTAAGGAGAAAAATTAAAAAAGGCTTCCTGACTGTGGGTAAACAGTAACCACATTTTTTTCTTTTTTTTTTCTGCCTGTTGGAGGCCTGGTTTTTAATCACCCCACAAGCAGTTTTCATTTCTGTAGTAAAATTGCTTGTGGTTCTATTTAATTTGTTTCTGCAGGAGCCAGCTTTGGTGAAGATCTCCCAGGAGCTGCCGGGCCTTTTAGCACAGCACGTACAGCCAGTCAATGAGAAACGATTCCCTACATGGGAAAAATTCCTCCAAACATTTGTGAGTCAAGGTAAATAAGACTGCAAAGTCGCCGTTAAGTGTTATAAGGAGTAATTATACCATATTGTATGCCATATTCTTGTTAATCTTGGGCCCATTTAAATATTTATCTCCCTTTATTTCTCCATTACGCGTCAAATGTTCATTTGCAAATGAATTATAGGCAACTGTTCTATCATTCTTATGTCCTATGCAAGCTTTTAAACCATATTAATCCTGGATTACCTTTCTCACATGATTCTGAATCGAGGAGCACCAACCCCTTAATCCTGAGCTACTGTGCTGGAGGCTGCCACATTGGGCAAAAGGGCTTCAGGGGGTGCTGGTGTGTGAGGCTGCACGTAGGTGAATGTGAGAATATTGCACCTTTGGTAGGTGTTGGTGAGAAGCATCTGCCAGGCTTTCTTTCTTTTCCCTCCCATAAGACCAGGAAGGGAGTTCTATGTAAACTCCAGGTGCTACATAGATGCATTGCATGGAGTCAAATGGGCTCGTAACCTTTAACAGCTTGGAGAAGAGCTGAGATTTCTCCCCAGTTTTTGCCTTCCAGGCTGGTGGGGTTGCCCCTGAGGACCAGTAATGCAATGCCATATTGTGCCTTGCAGCACATTGGCACAGCCTTCTTGTTGGACCATTGCCGGGCTCTTTCTTGCCCTCCAACCAAAGGAAGATGAACAAGTTCCAGTCTGATAGCTGGACTCCTTTGTTTGCAGGATGCCAAGTCCTCAGTGGGGCCTCCTGCATTAAACCCAGTCATGGCACCTTGGACCAAAGCTGGCCAGTGCCCAGCTGGCCTAGGCTCAGACGTGAGCCCGTGTTTGCCCTAAGAGGCAGTGCAGATAAAACCCTTCTCTGATCACTGCACACCCGTGAATCTGTGAGTGGGCTTTGCACAGACCTGTCAACATCCTGTGTTTCTATGCCAAATTTTGGGCAGAAGAGGAGTTTGTGGTTAGACAGTAAATTTCTGTGGTGCTTCTGCCCTGCCAATATTGTGTACAGTGCATAATGGATATATACACTTCAATATGTTACTTTATCTGTGGAAGAGATAACTGTATGGTGGGAATCTCCAGGATTAGTTCACAGCAGGAGATTCTGCTTCCCCTGAGGTCCCAACATTGCACTTTTGTTCTGGGCCAGGCATTTAGTTGGGCTGTAGGACAGTGCATTATTAGAATTGAAGAGTTGTTTTGGTTGGAAGAGACCTCTGAGATCCTCAAGTCCAACCATCCCCCAGCACTGCCAGGTCCCCACTGCCCCGTGTCCCTCACACCACATCTCCACGGCCTGGAAACCCCTCCAGGGGTGGGGACTCCACCACTGCCCTGGGCAGCCTGGCACAGCCCTGGGCAACCCTCCAGGGGAAGAAATTGTTCCTCAGGTCCAGCCTAAATCTCCCCTTGGGCAACTTGTGGCTGTTTCATCTTGTCCTATGGCTTGTTCCTTGGGAGCAGAGCCCGACCCCCACCTGGCTCCAGGCTCCTGTCAGGAGCTGTGCAGAGCCAGAAGGTCTCCCCTGAGCCTCCTTTGCTCCAGGCTCAACACCCCCAGGTCCCTTAGTTGTTCCTCACAAGATTTGTGCTCTAGACCCTTCCACAGCTTCGTTGCCCTTTGGTATTCATTCATTCTCCCAAAGGGCATATTTCTCCTGTCAGATCTGTGATACAGCCAGTTTGGAACTGCTGCAGCTCAAAAGCTACGGCTTGTACTGTACGTTGCTGGAGTAGATGAGATCTCTCCTTTCTTTTCTGAGACATTCATGGGGAGATCTCTTCTTTTCTGAGAGATTAATGGGGAGATCTCTCCTTTCTTTTCTGAGAGATTCATGGGTCCCAGCCATGCTGCTGCTGTTACACTGCTGTCCTTGCTCTGCCTCCCCAGCAGTCCTCCCTGCAACGCCTGAGCACGACAGGAGCCGGATGCTTTCACTTGGTGGCACATTTCACGTGTGAATTTGATCAGCAGCTGAACAGCTCATTCCTTCCTTACTAGGTGGTGTGATAGAAGCCTTCCCACTCTCCGAAACCATCACAAACCTGACGGTGGACATGCTGATAGAGCCAACAGGAGAGATAAAAATAGTGTCATCTGGAGACCAGCTCCACGCCGACGGGCCGTTGCGATCCTCTGGCACTACCATTCCTCAACGTTCTGTGGATCCAGCAGTTCTTAATTCACTCTGCTTGAAAATTGGAGAAACCTGTAAATCTAAAGGAGTGCTTGGTTACTTCTCCATTGATTTTGTGACTTTTGTCCATCCACAGACGCTGGAGCAGCAGGTGAGTGGGGCAGATATGTTACTTCACACTGTCTCCTTGATACCAAGAAGTGTCTGCTTTCCTCCTGAGTCCAGCAGATACAAGCAGACAGCTTTGCCCTTTTGAACAAAGCTTATTTCTAAGCTGGGAGGCCTGTGGAGGGGGAGGTAAAGCACGTGGTCAGTCTAACAATATCATAAAATGTAGACCTAATCTGCCTGGTGGACCTGAAGAACCTCCTTCATCAGCCTGGAGAGCAGCAAACCAACAAAGCCTGCAGGGCTGCTCTCAAAGCTGAGCAGTAAGAAAATGATGGGTTTATTCCTTCTAATGCCTTTCTTTTCTCTAAAACAAGTGCCTTCTGCATTAAGCTGGTAATTACAGATAATGGTCTTGTGGCTAAGAAATTTAGATGAAATTATTTTCAAAATGTTCTGAATCTCTTGTATTTTGCTCTGTAAAAATAATTACAGGGATTGCAGAACACTCGAGTGTCTGTAAGAATGCAGATCTGAGGTTTGGGGCCAAATCAAAGGAAGAGAGATTGACAGTTTCTTCTGGCAAATAGGGTGGTGGTGATGGGTCAGGAGATGCTGTCTGCTAGCTGGTACAGAGGAGCTGACTGGGACATGCTCATTCAAACCACTTTTGCTCTCTGTTTAGCTTTTAGAATGTCCAAGAGAAGGATTTACTGTGAGAACAATAGATGCAATCCCACAGCAGATAGAAAACAATCCCTGAATACCAAAATACAGACTGAGGCCAATGTGTGGCACCTGATGGGGCCTAGGATTAAAAACATCATTGCAGGGATCAAAGGGAACCTGCAACGAATGCAGTACAATTGCATCATCTCACTTGAGGGCCAGTAACTGCTTAAAATGTCCTCATGGGATAGCTTAAGCTGTTTAGCATAGTTTAGCATGTTCCTGTGGAATTCCCTCTGTAGATCCTTGTCCTGATGAGTCTTCCACGTGGGCTGCAGAGACTCCTGAGTGGTGTTGCCCAGCTCTCTTGGCAGAGCAGCTCCCATCTGAGGCCATGCTTTGCTTCTGCTGCAGTGCTGATGTGTGCACAGGCAGTGGTTTCCTTGCTTTAGAGTATTTCAGAGTATTTGAGCTGAAGCTCAGCAGATCCAGGTACAATGTGAGACCTTATGAAATTCAGTTTTACAATAGTATCTGGCAGTGAATCATAGAATCTCAGAATCATTTGGGTTGGAAGTGACCTTTAAGATCAAGTCTAGCCATTAACCCAACACTGCCAGGTGCTCCTGGCTCAACTCAAGGCTGTTTCCTCTTGTCCTGTCCCTTGTTCCTTGGGAGCAGAGCCCGACCCCCTCCTGGCTCCAGGCTCCTGTCAGGAGCTGTGCAGAGCCAGAAGGTCTCCCCTGAGCCTCCTTTGCTCCAGGCTCAGCACCTCCAGCTCCCTCAGCTGCTCCTCCCCACACTTGGGCTCTAGACCCTTCCCCAGCAGCTCCGTTGCCCTTCTCTGGCCACACTCCAGCCCCTCAAGGTCCTTCATGGATTGAGGGGCCCAAAACTGAACCCAGGACCTGAGGGGTGGCCTCCCCAGTGCCAAATCCAGGGGTACAATTCCTGCCCTAGTCCTGCTGGCCACACTAGTGTTGATCCAAGCCAGGATGCTGGTGGCCTTCTTGGCCACCTGGACACATGCTGGCTCAGCAGTTTCTTTGCTTTCATACCTCCTCCAATCCTGAAAACTTCCTACACTGGGCACGTTAACTGCAGGTAGAGGTTGCACTAATGTGGGAAGAGATGAGTGACCTTTTGGGGAGCCTAGACTGAAGAATAAAACATTTCAAATAGTTATATCTTAAGGTGAACACCTTGAATTACCTAGAAGGAAAAATGCTGCTAGGAAGCCAGTGCAGTTTTGTGAGTGTTGGAGCACTGGGTGACTTGCATGAGACATAACCGAGCAGAGTGGAAGGGACTAAATAAATGTTTTCTCATGGAATCTTGCCCAGGAGAGTCTTTTGTGTGGATGAGTAATGGAGCCTTTGTAAAAGGTAAAACCAGAACCACTCAAGTGACCCTCGTCCTCCCTGCCAGGGTTTACAGCCTGTCAGCAAAAGCTCACAGTCAGCTCTACCAGAACTTTTGAGAAAGAAAAAATAATAGAATAAATGCAGGTGAAGAGGCTGAGCTCTCAGTGTTCTGGTAGTGGCCTTGTGTTTGAAGACCAAGGAAGATGAGATAATTTTTCCTTAACATAAAATCCTAATTATTATATTCCATTTTATATGTTCCATATATATCATTATATTCCATTTTAAGCTCAAAAGCAGGCTTTTGGTTAACTGATATCACTGTAGATCATTCCTGTCTATTCTGTCTTGGTTTTCTTCCCTCATTCCCAGTTGATTCTACCTTAATATTTCCTGTTTGTCAGCATGTAGCACAACTTTAACATTATTTAAGCACAGGTTTTTAAATCTAACTAGATGTCGAGGCAATTAATAATGCCATCTGTCTTGGGAGAGAGAGATTACACAAAAGACTGTACTCCTGAAAGAACTATTTTTTGGCACACAAAAAATCCTATTACACTCTCAGAACATTTGCTTCCCAATTTCAGAAGTGCCCACTTCCATGCAGTAGCTGAAAGGCTCAGATGCATTTCCTGGAAGTACAGGATATTTAGGTGTTCTTTCAAAGTTCTATTTTACAGAGGACATCAACACATACATGATATTTTCAGGAAAACTCCAAATTAAATATATCATTGAAAATCTGTTACCAATACAGTCTCAATATTTATATACTTAAAAATCCCTGAAACGTGCATCAAGTTACATGCTACATAAATACAACTCTTCAAGAAATGTGAAGGGCCAAATAAGTGGAAACACATGTGTGCCTTTGCAGACTGAGCTGGTCTGTGCTGCCATCTTCATGTGTCCCTCCCCTGCATGAAGGGGACTCCTCAACAAAGCCATGCATGGACTTAGAGTTTCAGGCTCTTCATCTGAAAGCCTTTTAAAATACACATGTTGTAGAATCATAGAATAGTTTGGGCTGGAAGGGACTTTCAAAGGTCATCTGGTCCAACCCCCTGCAGGGAGCAGGGACATCTGCAGCTAGAGCAGGGTGCTCAGAGCCCCAGCCAACCTCACCTGGGATGGTTCCAGGGACGGGGCAGCGACCACCTCTCTGGGCAGCCTGGGACAGGGGCTCACCACCCTCCATCAACGTCAAAAACATCCTCCTCTCTAGCCTGAATCTCCCTCTCTGAGTTTAAAACCACCCTCCCTTGTCCTGTCCCAACAGCCCCTGCTCCAAAGTCTGTCCCCAGCTTTCTGGCAGGCCCCTGGCAGTCCTGGCAGCCCCCAGCAGGTCTCCTCATCTGGAGCCTTCTCCTCTGTGGCTGCCCCAGCCCAACTCTCTCCTGCTGGGCTCCCAGCAGAGGGGTTCCCCCCTCGGGGCATTGCTGGGGCTCCTCTGGCCCCACTCCAGCAGGTCCCTGGCTCTGCTGTGCTGAGGACTCCAGAGCTGCCCCAGCACTGCAGGGGGGTCTCCCCAGAGCTGGCAGAGGGGCAGGATCCCCTCCCTCAGCTGCTGCCCACAAGCAGATGCTGCCATAAGCATGAAATCAATTTTGATATGAACAACAGGGCATTGTTTATATTTTTTAAAGATTGCTGCTGTTAGCAAATGTCCTTCAACGTGCTTTTGCCTTATTGCTGTGTCCCTTTGGAGCACTGGTAGCCACGGATGAGGAGCAATGCATGTCTGTCAAACAGCCAGGTCAGTGGAAGGCCAGAGTCCATGTGGAAATCATAGACTGGTTTGGGTTGGAAGGGACCTTAAAGGACATCTAGTTCCGACCCCCCTGCAGTGACCAGGGACAAATATAAAGTAATCTCTGTTTGGGTCACTGTAGAGCTTGGTGCTCATCACAGACCCAATAATATCTTCACTCTCCTGCAGTTCTCGTGGCCTGCACTGGCCAAAAGGTGACAGAGGAGATGCTGTCCTCACCCAGAGGAGCTGGCTCATGCTAGAACCTTTTGTGTACAAGATACTGCCTCATATTTCCACTGGGCTTCCCAAGTGCTTTTTATTGTCTATTTTGTGTGTAACTGAGGCCAAGAGGGGAGTCACAGTGCTGGGTTAGCCTGGGAAGGTGGCAGGGCAGAGCTACCCAGGGTGCAGCCTGCTGCACTGTGAAGGTACCAGGGGATTAGGCAGAGCCCCTGAGCACCCAGCAGGGATCCAAGGGGCAGAGGACGCTGGGGACTCGACACAATTTTCTGTTTGCCTCAGGAATCTATTTCTATCTCGGTTATAAGCATCTGTGATTTGTTCCTGAGGGAAAGGGAGGTGGAAACACACTGTTTTCAGTGTCTTTGGGGAAAAAAAAGTGAAGGAAAAGTATTAGGTGCATATATTGGACTGAATTGCTTCTGATTCCCACTCTGTTTCCCAAGACTGATCTTTAAGAGCAGGGCCTTGACCCTGTGAAGTGAAGTCTTGCACAGTATTGACAGAACACTGCTCAGATCCCAGCTTGTCAAGGAGCTGCACCTAAATGAGTCCATTTAATTGAGTGCAACTGCTTGAATGCATAAACTTACATCCATAGACCTGTGGACAGATAATGTGGAGAAGCAGGGTCATAAGTCACCTTTCTCATTGGTCTGAGACCTTACACAGCCCACAGCTTTTGCTGCAGCAGCAGGGAGAGAACACTGGTTTAATCAAATGGCTCAGTTTGGGCACAGAGGAAAAGATGATGTAGAACATTCCAACAAGGAGAATCATAGAGCTGGGAAGGTTTAGGTGTGTGTTCTCCCACTGTTCCAGTCCAGTGGCTTATAAAGACCCTGAGGAGGATGGGATCAGCCAGGCAGGCAGAGCTGGGGGTAGGAAGAGCAGAGTACAGATGCCTCTGAAGCCCATTGATCCACTCTGGTGTATCAGTTCAGTTAATGCTTTGAGGGATGCTGTCAGTAGGATCCATTTGCCTCTATTTGCATCTTAAGATTTCCCTAGACA